TATATATTGAGTTCCTCATGCCCTGGATCCAGGGTGATCTGTGCACGAGCTGGGGGCCGGGCCAGCTAACATTTGGCCCTCCACAAAAGAAAACAAACGTCAGATTGTAGTTTTCCTGGCAAAGGGGACAAATGACAACTTCACAGCACTTCATAAGAAACTCCTGGAAGTTGCTAATGAAGACTAATGACTTCCCTCACGTCAGAGAGTTCACACCAGCGTGTACGAGCAGAAAGCAGACCTGAGGCTGCCGGGCCGACTGTGAAGCTTCAGGAGGCAAAATGTGGAAATCAGACTGTCGTCCAATAAATCACTAACAAACCCCGCTGTGAGCACGAGAAGGCGGAGTTTGATAAATAAAAGGAAAATAATGCATTAAATATGCATCAAAACCTGTTAGGAAGTTTGACACAAATTTGCCTCCAAATGATTTTAAATGCCTATTTTCTCCCCCTTAATGGCAGTTTTCAGCTTATGTGGCGAAAAGATAGAAGTTGCAGCTGTTTTGGTCAAATCTTGTTAACTTTATGAATTATATAACAGAATGAATAAAGGATGGTTGCTTACACTGTAATGTTTAGGGTTTTGTATCGTCAGATTTATGAGGTTCATGTGTTAAAATTCCAGATAGAAACACAATAAAAAAAATTTAAAGTGCTTTAAATCATATATCAAACTCAAGGATCAAAGAGGTGTTAATGTCTTAAAATAAGCATATGCTGCTTTAAAGCCAGCATTGATGAAAAACTACAACTCCCATAATGCATGTTAATTAATTTGCTCACAAAATGATGGCCTCCCACAGGGTTCAAAAGTAGCTGGTAGCCATTCAAATTCAGTGTAAAAACTCAATTTCACTGCATTTTTGCTGAATACTTTTGCTGCAGCCAAGCAGGAATTTACATCACAAGTTTAAACTGGAGTGCCCCTCCAGGAGGAATTTCCTGTCAGAAAGTGGGAGAGTTTAGAATTCAAGACGGCAGCTACTCACCACAACCCAAGTGTGAGTGAAACTCACTTTTACTTTTAATAGTATTCCTGTATGATTTATTACACATTTAGGCAGTTGTAGACATAGTACTTCTGAGTGTTTATAAGAGGACGCGTTAAAACACTGTTTCTATGCAGGAAAWACCATATAGAGCTGCTGCTAGCGGTGCTCAGCTGTAGCAATGAGACGATTAATGTGATTCCTGTTTAGTCGAAGTTAAACATGAAACATTAAAGTTATTTACAACCGGCCCTTTAATGCTCACTCTGAGTTAGACACCCCTRCTCTAAATAAAATAATAAACAGTAAAGATGTGGCCCTTTTTGTGTAAACTATTCTGAAATGTGCTTCAGTCCAAGGAATAAGATTGTGGAATAACCTGGAAAGTGATTATAAAAACGCTGACTCAACAAATTTATTTAAGAGAATGATAAAAGCTAGATTGTTGAAGAAATATGAATTTGTATAATGTGCATTCATAAGAACTGTTGTTGGAGGAGTTGAAGTTTTTATGTTTTATTTGAAGATTATTATTGTTTGGATTTTTTTATTTTTTGAAAAAAGGGACAGATATTATACATTTTTTCTTCTTTCTGCTACCTTTCATTTTATTTGTG